GCCTTCAGCCAATCTGACAACGTCAGACAGAGAGTTAATTCTGATAATGACATCGTTTTTTTAAATGAAACTCTACCACGCAATTACTTTAAATAAGTTTCGCATATCCTTACAACACGGAACCTTGACACTGATTAAAAAAACAGAATTGATTTGAAGGTTTAATAAATTAGGCAACACTTCGTTGACTTAACAAACGCGACTCATTGATGACAAGGAATAATATGCTATAATAATAATAATAATAAATAATAAGGGCTGCGCAAGATGAACCCGCCCACTTATATGGTGACTTCATGTTTCTTCACAAAGAAAGTATAAATCAGCGTGCCGTCGAAATTTTCTTACATCTACTTGCTAATCAAAATAGCCTAAAGAAAGAGTTCTGGAAGGTATGCCAGTTAACTCATGCAAGATTCTTTTTCGTATCGAAGTTGTAAAAAATATGCAGCTTTACTTGAAGGTTTACACATTACCCCTAAGTATGTGATAGCGCTGAAGGCATATTCCACGCAGACTGTCGCGGACTTCCCTTTGGCACGCACAAACTCAACCCTGCGGTAAGAGCACTGACTTGAGACAAATCGTGTCACCGTGAGTCCATTTGGCATACTAACAAATTCGCGTATCTCATCTCCGAGTTGCATGCAAGTGTGATGCTCAAAACATGGTATTTATTTTGCCTACTTCCAAAATAGGCACAAAAACATGGTATACAAAACGACGCTCCCATTGCAGTTCAAAAACTACCTAGCCAAAAGGGTGCACGGCTGAAAGTGGTTGCCACCTTAAAACCAATAGTACAATCACGTAAGCTAATCAAGTTTAAAGTAAGAATTCTACAAAGGAGTACGCGTAAATACGGTTGCCGTGACTTTTGGCGCGATGATGGCCGAGGCACAGGCACACAGTTTGCGTGAAGCTATCGATTGATAGGTGCAGATACGCAAACACGTACGCACACACATACGCAAACGCACAGAAGCATGTGTGACCAATGAGAGGGCAACGCGGTGCACACGCACACGTGGGGGGAAGGGGAGAGATGGGGAGTTTTAAGTATGTGTGCGTGTGTCTGTATGTGTGCACGTGCATGTGCATCTGCCTCCATCCCCACGATCAATGACCACTCGGGCCATGCGCCTTCCTGCCTCTCTCTCTCTTGCTGATGCAGCATCACCCACCACCGCTACCACCGACCGCAGTTAACAGTCGTAGTAGAGGCGTAAGCCTAAATACGTAAGAGGTAGACAATGGAGTGTGAAAAAGTAATGTGAATAGTGTCCAGTGCGTAAACTTACAAGCGTTTGCACAAATGGTAAAAATGATGACTTTATGAGCATTGGAAAATGCTAAAGCTCGATAACGCAAATTGTAGGCATGATAATGATCTAGTATTTGCTCTCCAGAGACCATCTGGGTCACCAAGCTATGCGGCAAATTGTTTGGAGACTGAGGGTTCTGATACCAGGCCGCACTAATCACTAGGCTAACACCTTAGCCTTGGTAGATTCTGATTTAACAGCTGGTCGATGCGACCCACTTGTCTGAGATGCCATCATGTGGCACCTGCTAATTTTCCTGCATGATTCACATTATTGTCCTAATTTTGCAAAGTTAAAAGTATCCTAGCAATAAACGTATAGAAAAAGAATCGCTATAACTGCCTGAAAATATGATAACAATCAGAAAGTCTTGGACTTCCACATAATTAAGAGCAATGGCTTCCCCAACTTGTGCCGAAATCAACCATATGGATAAATGGCACAGGATAAGGGCACTATGATCAATTTGTTTAGTTCCTTCAGGCTATTTTTGAAGCCCCACAAATCTAAGAGCACACACGAATCACACACCTACGAGCCCCACTCCCCTGTTCACGTGCGTTTTGCCAGTGGGGCATGTTCACGTGTCTATTTAGGCTCCACGCTTGCTTATCCAGGGGCGGAATGGAAAGGGGAGGGTGGCGGCAGCAACAGGAGTAACAGCAGCAGCACTGGAGAAGTGCACACGTCTGCTCCCAGCAGCGTGGTAACTCTGCCTTCTACCCACCCTCTCCACTGTTGGCATGGCAAGATGAGTCATAGCCTCACCACCGCCACCACAGCTGCAGTAGACGTTGGCCCACCAGTGGGAGTAATCACCGGGCTCACCCAACCCTCGCTCCCACCGGTATTGCGTTGATGCTGATGCTGCTGACGTGTGCATGTGGACACCCCTCCACCAGGTCCATGAATCATCCGACCCTCCAAAGAGAGGTCATGCCTACGTTGAGGGCAGAGAGGGGTAGAAACGAGTTTCCATTTCTTAATCGACAATTACGTACACTAATGCTCTCTTCGGATTGCAAAAAAAGGGAAGAATTTTGGATTATAGCACAAAACAACCAGTGGCCTATTAACCGGATGGTCAAAGTATGACCTTCAAAAGTACTTGTCAGGATGATGATACTGGTGAGAGGGGGAAAGGTGAATCACGACCAAAGTTGACATTTGCATACGAAGCAATAGCCGAACAGCAAAATATAACAAATGCTTATTCATACTGGAAAATGTGCTATGAAGATGTGCCTGTGGAGTTGCTATCTCATTTGATTCTACCACAGGAGCTAGAGGATTGGACACCGTCTTATGACAAATGTGCTACTCATTTGTTGTCAACATAATGAACATCAAGAGGCATGGAAAATAGGGGAGCTTGAGAAGGCAATTAGATGTGTCAAAGTGAGCACGCATTCAGAGCCGAAAGTGACGCTTGTAAAGGTATTCGAAACATCACCTAGGGATGCACTTTGGAGCCGACAGCGAAATCGTCGCTAAGTGTCCACTTGGAATTCACAATCGAAAAAGAATTTTTACGCAACTAATATGGGTATGAACTTATTTACTTGCGACCTGACATTAACCCGAGCACGATGATGGAATGGAAACTTCGGTGAGTGTAATGGCATCCAGAACGGGGAGAGAGGAGGCTTGACACCAATGGGAGATGGATCGAGGACACATTTTCCCGATGACCTCATTGGGCTTTCTCGGCTTCCGCCTCCAAATGTGGACAAACAGCCTTTTCTCCATGTAATCGATTATGGATGACTCGACATCTGTGAAATTCAAGACCTTAACCAGGCATGCAACTCGTCTAACCTTTGAACATCAATAGCACGTCCCGCAGCTCCCCCCCCCCCTCCGGTGCTGCATGAATCCATCCAACGAAGTCAAAAACATCTAATTCGAGGGAACGCAGACAAACAACTTACAAATCATAGCAGAAAGCCAATCCTCGAAATCACACAATACGTGACAAGTTGTCAAGGCAAAGATTCAGAGCTAATTTCTAGCATTCTTCAGTTTGTTCAGCCTTGAATGACGAAACCTAATGCAGCAATTTCACATCCTACCGTAGAATCATCTTCAAAACTCTACATCATTCACTCTAACGAGGTACGATACATACAACGCAATCAAGAAAGCCACTTTATCACCTCTAGGTAATTGGTATACAAACTTCATCACCTTGCAGAAGTTGAGAAGAAGAATTTAGGTAGCTAAAAGTCTAGTTTTGGCTTCACGGCGGGAAGC